AACATGTGTCTGTGTTAGTCTTTACGTAGTCACTGCTTTATAGTTTAATGCGTTGAAAATGAATTCTATGCCGAAAGAAGGTTACTGTACTGCGATCAATGAGCACCTCAACGTACAGTAACCTGAGCAAAAATGCAGCAAATGTGACCTCTGTACCACCGTACAATAATGATATAATGAGGCAGCCCTGATAAGGGCTGTTGGTGCCAAGCTTCCAGTCGTCACTACTTACAAGGGGATCACGCACTCTTGTACCCTTCCTCTTTGTCCTTGCATTTTCTTTGACTTCATACAGTACTTCCACTAAGTGACAAAGTAGAGGTATAATGCATTTGGGTTCCAAAGTACGATAATATGGTAGATTGTTCTGCCGCTTAGTCGCACATTTTCTGCAGATTTCCTGTGGTTCTCCACGACATGTACGTACCAGACTATATACCCGGCACATAGTAACACTTTGTTTTGGACACAGTAAGGGTGTGTACGAATCCGACGCCTAGCAACGGCGGAGACATGGTTCTTTTCTGCTCGTCAACTTTATGTAAATGAAGATTATGGGAAATTCCAATACACCAAAGCGTCAAATATATTCATTATACCATGGTACACCGCTAGATTCTAACATGACAAATACAAGCGTCACTGATGCTTTTTTTCATGTGGAAGTACGACAGCCGGTTTTTATTTGTTTGGGTCGTCAGACCAAACAAATAATGGTAGCGAAATTTCAGACTCTAATGCTGTTAATTGCAAATGTCGAAAGTAGTCCGCTTTTTTTGAAGCGGTTACTTCCCTTAATATGTAACACTAATGCTGAAAAATTCAGGGGATATCACTGCGTAAATATGGTCACATGACAGGCGCATTTAATTTATCTGGCTGTTTTATTCCGCGCATTCTTCTTTATACTCCTGAATGTAGTCCATTATTGAGGATAAATAGATGTAAACAATAGCTTAGCACTATTATTTTTTGTAAGAAAATCTTTTTTTCAAAATCATTTTACCTTTACTAGGTAATAATATGATATTGATCATAATAATCTTCACAATTAATTCGATTGGGCGTCATCATTATGACATCAATAGTTTGTGGGTTTTTCGTAATATACACAAAATATCATTATTTCTCCCATTTCATTTTTTTATCTGAACATTTTTAGTAAATGGTGAGTGGAGTAACTGGAGCAGCTGGAGTGGGTGTTCAGTCACATGTGGATCTGGTACAAGACAACGGACAAGATCATGCTCAAACCCGCCACCTAGCGACGGTGGAGCGGCTTGCTCCGGTGCTTTTCATATAATTGAACCATGTTATGAAGGAAGCTGCTTAGTAGCAACAGTTGTAGGCACTCTTGGTGGAAAATGTAAGACAGCTATATAAATCTATCATTTTAACACATACATGCTATTTCAAAACAAAGATCACAATAGAAGTATTGTTTTATTGTTTTATCGTCAAAAAAATCAAATCATTTTAGCCTTAAAAAAACAAACAAACAAAAAATAACAAACAAAAAAACAAAACAAAAAATCAAACATCATCTTTTAAACGATGAGATCTATGTACAACAATAAAATCTGAATATATAAAAAACTTATTTTCATATAATTTATTTATCTCAATAAAACTGTTTACTTCATATCTATAGCTTAAAGTTTACAAAAACCAGATTGCTGTTTGTCTTATCTAATGATTTGCTTTTTTTTGTTTATTTCCAGAATTTTCGACTACCTTGATTCCGGAAAGATGTATTGGAGCTCAAACTAGACGAGACAAATTTCAGACATTTTTTAAATCATCAATTCCGTGAATATTTGTGAAGCGATCATTCACTAATTCTCAAGATTTTTAATTTTGGTGTTCTTTTATAGTATCCAAAAGTAACTTATTGGCCAATTATCTATCTGATCCATCTTTTTAATCTGTCCCTTTTGGCAATAAGTACAGATATACATGCAGGGTGGAAGTCAATATACTACTTGTATGACAAATTATTTCACATTTGTAATTCTTTCTTCAGGTGACAAGCGTATTACTTTCTCTAAAATCATAATTTAAACATTATACAAGTCATGATTGCCTTTTCTTAAGTGGTAAAAAACATTTGTTTCTGAAGCAAGCATAATGTGCCTTCAATCAATTAATAAGTGTCTGCTTTTAAGTCTTTCGTATTTTTATATAATAAAATAATTATTAACATTATCTTTCATCGGATAATTATTGATAATAGGATCATCTACATTATACCTTTTTATGTGAAGAAATTAGCATATTTTATCACCTATTTTTGTGCTCTCCATAAAAATAAGATTAATTCATTGCTTTTAATTGTTATTCTATGGGAAGACTGGGTCTTTTCAAACATGATTCTCTTAATATCACCTTGCTAGTGTTAGTGTTTTCATCTTAGATAAAAAAGTTTCTCGTTCCTCGGAACAATGGCTTTATCAAGCCAGGCATCAGTTCCAAATTGTATCTACATGACTATTGTATATAATTCAAAATTCATTTGTTAAAAGTATAAGACACATTCCAATAAAAAATAAAACAAAACTCATTTTTGGTGAGATTTTTTTGAAATATGTTATATGTTACATATAATGCTCAACCAACAATAACACCAGACACTGATGGTGTCCCTCCTGAAAAAAAAGATAAGGAAAAAAAGTGAATAAGTGTATTCAAAATATAACACGAACCTTTTACATCTTATTCTACTTTTCGAGGAAAATCATATGCTCACGTGTCAAGTAGCGAGACTCACTTTTAAAAGTGTTGAGAGTGAGTGTGTTGATAAGTTCAACATCATACTGTCGTACTGTCACCATCATACTTTCAAGTGTAACCATCGTACTATTATACTAAGCATCAAAGTTAATAGCAATATTTTCACTGCCTACTCAATAACCTTTTCATGAATGCATAGATCTATCTTTCCTAAATTAACAATAAATGAATATATTATAATGCAATCAGCTTCGTCTGACGCCATGCTTAGTGAAACGTTTGCGCATGCTTGACAGGAATGTGACCGCGCGTAAGGTGGTCTAGCGCGATCGTATTATTGTGTCATTACGACAGCGCGATGTTAATGCGCGACAGTACGATTGTGACAATACGACAGTCGTACTGTCATGCTTCGCCATCGTATTGTCATATTGTCATCATCGTTTCTTAGTTGATAGTGTTGTGAGAACCTTGGGTCAACCCTTCACTGAACATTTATGTACACGTTATTGCCAATATAACTTTCTGTATATATGCAAATATGTATTTGTTCAAAACATTTATAGCAATTCAAATGTTAAAATTAAAAATCATTATCATGTAGATACAAAATAAAAAATACCGACCTGAATGGCCTGAAATGTGAACGCTCAATGTCTTCCCGCCGTCCGCCAACGTGAATGTTTCCGTCTGTAACACGTGACCATTATGTTTGACATTGAGCGTGTATTTACCTTTGAACCCACGCACATGAAGCTGCTGATGGCCGTGTATGGTATGTGTTTCGCTAGTTCGCCAGACGTTGTGAAACAGATTCTGATAAGCTCTCCCGGCTGCATTAGGCTGGTGAGAATATGAAATATTTCAGAATTGGTTCAGATTTTTGACAGGTTGTGATTCAAGTACGAGCACACTTGAATATATTATACTTTGCGTAAGCTGCATACGATAAAGGGAAAAAATAAAACAATAAAAAAATCGACTCTATTACCCCACAATTCGGACAATTGGGACGTTTCATAATTATGTGCCAACAAGCTGGTATAAATAACTGATCTAATCTACATTGACTCAAAACAGACCAGGGTTTCAAATGAAACATTTTCAAAAAAATATTCACCGTGAGATTTGGTCCGGTAAACAGAGGAGCGTCTTTTTCCCATATTTGGCCGTCCCAGAATCCCCAGAATAGGACGCCCTCTACCGACGGATGACTAAAGAACAGCGTCAACAGGTCCACGAGTTTTGTTGCTCGGCTGTTTTCGTTCTTATCATTGATACCCAGTTCTGAATATTTAAATGGAAAATATTATTCAACAAGGAAATAAACCAAACAGATTTTTTATCTTTTTATCTTGCCTATTATTTTAGTAAATGATGTCATCTGCTTTTCATGATACGTTTGTAGGAAGAAGAAAAATTAAACAAATATTTTATAAATGCCAAAATGGACCTCAATTCCATTCTTATGCACGGGTTGTTTCTGAAGAAATTTCAAGCAAAAATTCGTGTAGGTGTTTTTTAAATGTACTAAAAGTGCTGTAAAATATGTCACCGGTTTATCAGTCACATGTAATTTTACGTAGGCAATTGCTGCATTGATTTTGACACAATCATAGTTTGTTGAAAAATGAAGATATTTGAAGTCAATTACGATGTTAATCACATACCTGTAATCATTATTGGGAGTCCTGCCTCTGCCAATATGTCTAACTCAGCCTAAAGTTATAAAAGAAAGAATTATAAAATATTATTTAACATTTAAATGGAATATAAATAAATTGTTCTTAAGCAGAATAAGAAAACAAATAGAGAATCTTGAATAAGTGAAGGTTCAATACTGAATTTATTGAATTGAATAAAATTAATATATATTATTCGAGCCTCTGGCGAGCAAAATTTTATTTTATTCAACGAGTTGAATAAATAAAGTTGTTAACTTACACGAATGTAATATTCTATACCCCCCCCCCCCCCCAAAAAAAAACAAAGACTGTTTAAAGTGCAAAAGAACCATAGATCTATTTTTCATCAACGTGCCAACAGTGTTACGCTAACATTTAGCGCGTCATTACACTACGTTTGTGTAATGCAAATGACGTCACTCAAAATATTGAAAAATCGGCATGGATGTGTGATAAAGGAAGTTAGGTATACAACTTTTTAAATGCATAAGTTATGTTAAATACTTATGTCATCTATAACTGTATAAAGGAATAGTGTACCTTGATAACGTCTATATCTATGTTGTGCATATGACCTTGAACTCCAAGTCCACCTATTGGTACCCCAGCTTTCTTATATCGCATTGCAGTGTCTTTATGTGCCTGATTTACACAAAACACAAGTGCTATAGATTACGCAAAAGTAAGTGGGAATCACTGAAAGATGTATAACGCGAACAAAGTAAAGATATTGAACTTCAAAAGGTGTTAATAATCAGCAGAAGCGTCTGTCTTAGTAACCATTAAAACTACTATTATTTTGTGTCGGAATCCAAAGTGGCGGCACGGCTCCTGTAATTAGATTTAATTTTATAGAAGTAGCGCCATAAATTACTGTCTTAACGAACTAATTTCAACTTCCATATTACTAAACTCTCCTGAAAATCATTAGAAACATTTTTATCAACCGAAATTCGTTATTTAAAATGATCCGAGATAGAATGTCGTCAAATAGCACAGAGTATATCTTTAAACAAGAACGTACATAATCAGGATTCTATTAGGAGAAAAAGGAAGGCACAGTCAGGTGACATGATAGTTCTTCGATTCAATTTGAACATCTTGACTTTTAATAATATTCCGAAGTTTGACGGAAATGGCCGAGAGGTTGTGACTGTCTTCGACCGAAAATGTCATTATTAGGAAAAGATCGTCGATAATTAGGCTAATAATCATCGCTATACAAAGATTTCAAAGGGCCTAAAGGCTGGGATTGCATTATCGCGTAACAATAACAGTGTTTTATACCACAGTAGATTCAGACGCGCTGATTACACTATATTCATTAAGGAATAACAATGGTTGTCTGTCTGCTGCGTGCATTTGTCTAAACATGTCCATGGTGATGTTTGGATCCCCGGAAAGTCTCTCATACGTTCCACCATGTAACATTTCATTATTCACATCCCATTGCTTACACCTAGAGATAGATTCGTAAATGCTCGGTAATTTCCGCATGTGAAGCACATGTATGTATTTTTATACAAGCAGCAAAATGGATGCACATTATTGAGTGTTTTGTTTAAAAAAAAATATGGTTTTACTGAATTCGTTGTACGTGTAAGTAAACAAGTTATCATTATTTACAAATCAGTTTTCCACAGGTAAGTCTTGAACTGCAAATGGAAAAAAATGACGGCTTTAATCAATTTTCCTTACCCATTTACATATAAAATCTTACAAAACTAATAAAAATACATGGACTTTTTCAACTACTTTGTAAAACAGTAATAACAAGATAAGTTTGTAAAACATGTATGCCCCCTATCAGCAGCCAATTAGTCAAGTGATAAGGTTATTATGCATGACTTCTGACCCAGTGATTAAACAATTAATAAGGGTTATCAAGTATCTACTGGTCATGACCTTGACCTTTGACTCCTTGACCCAAAACTCAATAGGGGTCATCTGCTGGTCACGACCAATCATCATACAAAGTTTGAAGTTCCTAGGCCCAAGCATTTTTAGTTAATTGATCAGAAACCGTTTTTACCTACAAGGTCAATGTGACCTTGACCTTTGACCCCTTGACCCCAAAATCAATAGGGGTCATCTGCTGGTCATGACCAATCACCATGCCAAGTTTGAAGTTCCAAGGCCTAAGGGTTCTTTTATTATTGATCGGAAACCGTTTAAACATACGAGATCAATGTGACCTTGACCTTTGACCCCAAAATCAATAGGGGTCATCTGCTGGTCATGACCAATCACCATGCCAAGTTTGAAGTTCCTAGGCCGAAGCGTTCGTAAGTCATTGATCAGAAACAGTTTTTGCTTACAAGGTCAATGTGACCTTGACCTTTGACCCCTTGACCCAAAACTCAATAGGGGTCATCTGCTGGTCACAGCCAATCATCATACAAAGTTTGAAGTTCCTAGGTCTAAGCGTTTTTAGTAAATTGATCGGAAACCGTTTTTACCTACAAGGTCAATGTGACCTTGACCTTTGACCCCTTGACCCCAAAATCAATAGGTCATCTGCTGGACATGACCAATCACCATACCAAGTTTGAAGTTCCTAAGCCTAAGGGTTCTTAAGTTATTGATTGGAAAGCATTTTTACCTACAAGGTCAATGTGACCTTGCCCTTTGACCCCTTAACCCCAAAATCAATAGGGGTCATCTGCTTGCTATGACCAATAACCATACCAAGTTTGAAGTTCCTAGGCCTAAGGGTTCTTTAGTTATTGATCGGAAACTGTTTTTACCTAAGAGGTCAATGTGACCTTGACCTTTGACCCCTTGACCCCAAAATCAATAGTGGTCATCTACTGATCATGACCAATCACCATATCAAGTTTGAAGTCCCTAGGCCTAAGGGTTCTTTCGTTATTGATCGGAAACCGTTTTTACCTACAAGGTCAATGTGACCTTGACCTTTGACCCCTTGACCCCAAAATCAATAGGGGTCATCTACTGATCATGACCAATCACCATATCAAGTTTGAAGTCCCTAGGACTAAGGGTTCTTTCGTTATTGATCGGAAACCGTTTTTACCTACAAGGTCAATGTGACCTTGACCTTTGACCCCTTAACCCCAAAATCAATAGGGGTCATCTGCTGGTCATAACCAATCACCATACCACGTTTACAGTTCCTAGGCCTAAGGGTTCTTTTGTTATTGATCGGAAACCGTTTTTACCCAAGAGGTCAATGTGACCTTGACCTTTTACCTCTTGACCCCAAAAATCAATAGGGGTCATCTACTGATCATGAACAATCACCATACCAAGTTTGAAGTTCCTAGGCCTAAAGGTTCTTTAGTTATTGATCGGAAACCGTTTTTGCTTACAAGGTCAATGTGACCTTGACCTTTGACCCCTTGATCCCAAAATCAATAGGGGTCATCTACTGGTCATGACCAATCACCATACCAAGTTTGAAGTTCCTAGGCCTAAGGGTTCTTTAGTTATCACTCGGAAACCATTTGGTCTTCGTACCGACGGACCGACAAGTGCAAAGCAATATACCCCCTTTTCTTCGAAATGGGGGCATTATAATTATACCCCTGTGTTATTGAAACATTTGAACTTAAACTTTATAATGAGATACCAAAAATAATTTTCTTTCATTTTCTTTTCTAAAGACAGTCTGCGACTATTTTGGACTAAGTCAAGGGAATGCATAAACTTACATTCCTCTAGTATGGGAGGTTATTTCTTGTATACGTGTAGAGATGGCGTTTCTCACGGCTGCGCCATGGAGAGCCTTCACCCAGTCCTGAGTATACTCATCTTTGTCCCAGAATGCACAATGACAACGCATCTTGATTCTATGTACGATTTGAAAAAAATAAACTTGAATATAAATGATATTGGATGACTGTAGGTTCAATACTGAATTTGTTGAGCGAGTTGAATAAGAATATATGAGCCGCGTCACGACAAAATCAACATAGTACGTTTGCGATCAGCATGGATCCAGACCAGTCCGCGCATCCGCGCTGTCTGATCAGGATCCATGCTATTCGCTATCATTTCTCCACTTATAATAGAGTTGGTAAGCGAACAGCATGGATCCTGATCAGACTGCGCAGGCTGGTCTGGATCCATGCTGATCGCAAACCTATTATGTTGGTTTTGCCATCAAACGACTCATATTATCATGTATAATGCAATCCTCTGACTTACATATTTCACCCAATGATATGACTTAAGTTCAAATTTCCTTTATTTATGTTTTACATGTAGAGATTACTTATAAGAGTTGATGATAATGAGATTGGCTACCCAACCACCTATATTAACTTTAATTTGCCACGAAGCTTTGCCACACAATAACCAACAAATATAACAACAACATACATATACTAATCTGTCATAACGTTGCTTAAAAACTATTAGATACTTTCAAATAAAAGGTATAAAAGGTACACATAAAAGTGAAATCAGCGTCACTAGTATAATTATACTAATTTAAAATTGAAATAAAAAATGAACCTACCCATGAGACCTCATGGCTTTTATTGCATTAAGAGGTCTGTCATAGTTAATGTGACCCTGCAAAGAAGTATGCATTATCAGTATTTATTAAATTTGTTATGACCCTTTTGTACCAAAACTTTATATTGCCTTCCTTAATCTTCAATATGTATTTTTAACGTTACAAAACCTTCACTATTTCTGTTTATGTATAAAATACAATAGATGCCTAAATTGCTTTCATTTAATAAAGCCTCCTGGCTTTCAAGGTACCCATTGGTATATACCATTTTAATTTTTATACCTTTTCTGCATTTAATTTCATGGCTAATCATTTTGTTCCACCGTGACACAAAAAGTAATAAATCACCGATAAACAGTTTCGAAACAAACGTTTAAGCGAAAGTACTTCAATTCTTATTCTAAATTCTGAACATGTTTAATTTCACCCTTTGCCTCTACATTGTATATTTGTGTTTTGTATAAGTGTATGTAAGCTTATCTTTGTACCTTAGTGTGTTCCATCTGACGCCATTTTAATGCATTTTCAAGAACGCCCCATTCAAAGTTGTCATAGAATGTTTTCTGATAAGCAGAGAGGCTGTGGTCGACAATTTTGGTAGCAGAAACGGCCGATCCAAATGCAAACTCCATCTTTGTCTGTTTAAGCTGTAAAAGGTCAAAATAAATAGTATAATTGTCTGACTAAATTAAATGAATGAACGAATTGAATGAATAAAAATAAAATGAATTGAATGAATAAAACGAAATGAATGAATGAATGAATGAATGAATGAATGAATGAATGAATGAATGAATGAATGAATGAATGAAAATGAAATCACTTAATGAATTTATGAGAAAGAAAGACGGTAAAAAGAAAGAAAAGATTGAACATCAAATATTAGAAATATACCTCAATATCCACGGAAGTTGTGTCAATGACATTTCCGGTTAGCCTGTAGAATAGAGGACACCAATTTTAAACAAATAACATCTTCTTATCTTCGTATAAATTCATGTTTTCAGCAAATACAGTAAAGACCCTCCATTAAGACCACCATCGAGACTTGTCCAAAGTGATCTTAATTGCGTGGTGGTCTAAACTGTGAATATTCTTATTGCTTACATACTTTATGACCATGGTCTATTATAAGTCATGTTGTATGAACAAACAATATGTATATTGACAATATAAAAGTATGTTATAATATATATAAATCTGATGGAGGTAAATATATTTTTGAAAAAAATTAACATTTAATTTTGTTTGGTCTGATTTTAATATTAATTATTATATTATACAATTCACATATCAAATAAAAAATAAAATCTTCACAAAATAATTGTGCTTAATTAAAGTTTACAACATTATACCACTCTAAAAGTATGTAGTTTCATGTAAATGATTATAATTCTACCACAACTATATTTATAACACTCTAATGCTACCGAACATTTTTATGAAAAGTTTTTCGAAAAAAACTTAAAATGGAATGATTTATTATGGTACCTATTTCTTCTTTTTTAGCAATATTTTACATTCAGAATATCAAATTAATGTATCTAATATCACTTCCAATTCAGCGCTACTAATTTGTTTTGGATGTATAAAATTTGAGTCAAGAGAACATTAGTCTTTTATAGCTCTTGATAGACATGTCTTTCGGTGCTTAATGTAACACCTAATCAGCAGCAATTATTGTAGAAAATAATAAACATAGAAACATTATCTATGGCCTAAATAAATGTAAAAAACAACATCTTATTACTGGATGTAACAAAAGGTAAAGTAAAGGTACTTTAAGTTACAACTTGATATTAAAATACAGGACGCCTTGCGTGATATTACTTGATATAACGAAACTAAAGGGGCAGTAACTTTAGTTTTAATTTGAAATTCAGAACAGAGGGCGCCTTAATTTTGCATCTACGATAACTGTTTGTTTGTTTGTTTCATTTTACGCCTTTTTCCAACAGTATTTTATTCATATAGGCGGGCAGTTTCCTGTCCATCGTTCCTGGAGAGTTACACCAGTACTAGACTACCTTCCTCCGCGCTAAACTACCAAAGCTTAGAACTACCGGGGATCGAACCCACGCCAGAGAGGTACTGCGATAACTGGATCAGAGGTAACACAAGTAATAATTGTGAAGATAAATCAGAGATCGCCTAAAATACTCATACTTGATGTTGATATTGGCTTTTCTGAATTTTTCAATTCTCTGGTTGGCCTTGGTTTTCCAGTTAGTATCGTACGGTACCAATACCATACTAGCAGAATCCACAAGGTAATCAGTGTGTGCGTCCGTCTGTACGTAAATATGGCACGTATGGTATCCTGCAACGATTGAAAAATGGGCAAGGTCGAGTGATTAAGGCCGTTTAACTTCCAATTTTACTCATTTAGAACTGTGAAGGTTGAAACTACAAACTTGTATGTATTTTATGACCCAATTCATAAAGAAAATAATTACAGATTCCAATGGGATATTTACCATTGTTTGTATGGAGCACACCCCCAATTTCACACCATTGACCTGGCTGCACGTTCTGTGTTACACCAAATTGTTTGTATACATCTGCGCCTGTTGAAGACAAAACTGTTCATTCATACCGGCAAAATAATTAATTTATTGATAAAATTGTTGTACAAAATACGCTTTTAAGAAAAGTAAGATGCTAGACACAACAATGTTCACATTGCAAACTCATCTCTTTTTTTATTATATTTAAAAATTACAATTCTTCTTGATTTATAACAAATACACTTCTGTACATTACAGATTACATCTTTCAGTTGACTTATTACGTCTGCAGAGAGCTGAAACAACATTAAATTGTTGTAAACTGCATGGTTTCTGGAATATAACTATTTTTTTACTAAAAAAAACAGAGTAGTTACAACCTGTTTGAGTAATGGGTTTAAATTGTGTATATATAGGCATATAGGATTAGCCAAGGGTAGTCAAATAACGCTTAGCAGAAAAGTGACGAGAAAAGTGTTCATTTGCAATCGGTAATATGCATTTGTCACATATGGCAGGGTTAACGTAACCGACAAAGCTATCATATAAACATGAATTTTATTCCTGAATGTGCTGCCTTGCATACTTACACACAAAAAATCGTGCATAATAAATGAGCCACGTCACGACAAAACCAACATAATGGGTTCGCTTACAAACCGTATAACAAGTAGAGAAACTGATAGCAAACAGCATGGATCCTGATCAGACTGCGCGGAAGCGCAGGCTGGTCTGGGTCCATGCTGGTCGTAAACGCACTATGTTGCTTTTGTCGTGACGCGGCTCATATGTTTCCCACGTGATATTGCAAGGAAGATTCTAACTTCTCATTTCCTAATTTTAAATGCTTCAATATCTTTATCACCATCCGGTAATTAAAGAGCAAATTTACAATAACGCCAGAAAATCTTAAATATTACATTGATAATCTTCTGCCTGTATCATTTCTTGTTGTATTATTACTGTAAACAATGTGTTGTTGTGTTTTTTTTTGTTCGAAGATATTCAGATTTTCAATTGTAGTTTAATTGCGTAATTAATTGGCAAGAAAATGTACCATGACTGTCTTTACAATTGAGCATCATGCTCACAGACTGGTACGGCTTGTTGTTTGCGGTATTCAGCAATTTCACGTAAGCTGTGGTCTTGTATCGGGATCCAGCATGCAAGTTAACGTTCTGCCCCAACCCGTTCCAGTTTTGGTTTCTGGTAATTAATAATAGAACTGTTTAATAGTTAAGGGATTAAGCATTTAATGTCATGTCAGTGTTCCAATACATTTGGCAACAACTGGCCATATTAAAATCGGATTTCATTGAAAGATTACAGAAACGGATGAAAACCATACAAAGGTAAAGATGTTACTATCGATCGCCTCTCCTTATAGCAAAGAAAAATGGAAAATTAAATACCACAAGTTACATGATTACAAAATGGACGACAAAAGACCTCAAATAGGGGCGCCTTCGGGGCACGTTTTCCGCCATGTTTTTGTCGTGTTACTATTATATAAAATTGAAATACTTTCTTCATATTCGGAGCTCGGTACCAGTATGTAGACCCATATACGGGTCAGCAATATATGGAATGTTTCACTTCAGCAAAGAAACATAGCTCTAGGTCTATTTTTAGTAGATAGTCTATTTCACGAAAAAAAAAAACCCGGCGATGCCTAGCATTTTTTGTAACCATGCCTAAAATAAACCACGCCTTCTATATCCATATTCATTGGATAACCATTTTAAACTAAAACCTATCGGGTCATCAACATATGCATTCAGATCTAGATCATAACCAAAAGAACGACCGAAAGGACCGAAACGATTGTTTTCGGTTTTATTAAAAGTAAAAAAATGGCAAAACCATTTAATCAGACTATATCTGATAAAACATAAAACTATGGATATGATAAAATTGTTTTGTTTACCAAATAAGATCTGATTTTGGAAATAATATTGAAATAAAGTTGATAAACAGGCGGGAGCATCTTTCAACATTTACACCTTTATTTAAAACTATTTTTTTATGTTGAAGACCTATCGCGAATACAACAGAGAAAGCCAGCCCTTCTGTAAAAGTAATCTTTTTTTTTCTCTTCTTTTTAACAGCCTGTTTGTATATCTGATTCAATTTGTTTTACAAAAATAATATAAACGCAATACTTATTTTCAGAAAAAAATCAGAAATGGTCAATTTATAGATATTTACCTGTTTGACATATGAACGCTGTGATGACCTTGGTAAGCGTCGTTACTCTGGGTCATTTGACAACCCATGGCGTACCAATTGCCGTTAAAATTACCAGACTCGAAGTCGGCATTTTGAAGATAGCTCGTTGCAGCGTTAGCAACTCCCGCGAAATAAACGAACATTAGTAAAACACGAACTTGCATTGTGATGCGAAGTGGACACCTAAAACAATACCACGTCTCAAATCGCATTATATCCTTATCAGCTTTGTCGATCAAAGATCAGTAATTGTGCACATGATAATGACCCTTTCGTGTACATATTGACATATGTGTGTGCATTTGTGTATTTCATTTTTGATTGGAAAAAAACCTTTATATGGTAACTTAAGTATATTCTATATAATGAACTCTCTTTAATTTGTTTACCTTCATGTCTTAAGAACATTTAATGTTTTCAGTCACTTGTTAAGGTTTCATATAGTATTTAACACAAAATAGAGTTGTTGTCAGAGACAGAGAAGTCTACATTTCCCTAGCTATTTCCTTTTTTTTTTTAAATTTCTTTTGCGAAATTAAAGCAGGATATTGTTTAGATGTATATTCTGGCAAATTATATGCATGTATTAGTTATTTTGAAAACATGATTTCGTTGGTATAGAAGCTTAAGATTATTGTTACCACAATGCTGGCAGTCGTAACACTTCGGGCGGCCCGACGTGTTATTATCATTTCGGCCCTATGCCAACTCGACCCTCTGTGAGTGAATATGTTCTCAATGTTGTTACGTGATTGACAGTGTTTAAACAGGTCACAAAAGTGGGCTGGGCTGATTGAATAAAAACTAGAGTTATCTTAAGGAGAAACAAGTCAAGACCTTTAAGGGCGCATGTTTATTAATCTGACTAAATTTATTCATCATCTGTCCATGTAAAAGTAATAAACACAAGTTTATGAATATGTTGAAAATCTTTACAATATATGTTTTGACTTGTTTATAAAATGGATGGTTTTCCAATATATTGTCTATAAATATATAACTTCACAATAGTTCACATTCGCAGTCATTTAGAAACTAAACCTTTTGTTTAAAATGAATTCATTAACCATGTTAATTTATTTGGTCCAGTCAACAAGAAATAATTAAATTAGTGGACTAATTCCATGGACTTCAGCTGGAGCTGTTTCCGTTTGTTTCAATTCGGATCCCACCGGCACACCAGGCGGAGCACCCGGATTCTGATTACCGTACCCTTGAATCCCCATTCCTCCAGCTTTAAAGCTAGATACTTCACCGGAAGCTGGCATGACGCCATTTTTATTGACACTAAACATACTCGTCATTGAGCTTCTTCCACTTTCTATGTTGGTTTGAAATGGATTACTTGCCTCGTTTAGAGCATGGTGTCTTTGGTTTCCGGTTGTTTGTATTGCACGATTGTTACCATTACCGGTTGATCCAATGTTACTGTTTGCTGTCGCTTTTCCATTTATCTGACCCGATCCTTGGTTCGAATGATGATGTACGTCAGTTCCTGCTCCTTGAACTGTTTCACCGGACATTGCATTATTGGCATTAGCTGTAGCTGCGTTTGGATTATAATCCAACGAACTTATGAGGTTCGCATTCACTTGATCAGGGTTGAATCCGAGCATTTTAGCATTTGTATTCCCTTCTGCAGATTGCAGAACACCGCCATTATCTGTGGTTTGTGAATTTATTGACTTCAGTAATCCAGCGTTCAGTGTATCTGGATTGAATCCGAGCATTTGACTACCATAAGCTTGGTTGGATGTTTGCCTGCTTTTATCGGTTGTATTTTTGTCTGAGGGCGCTGTTGTTGTCTTTATGTTACCGGCATTATTACCCGAGCCTTTCTTCAATGCATTTTCAAGCATATTCTGATTCAGTGTATCGGGATCAAACCCCATATTGCCTTTAGCTCCTGCCATAGTTTGGACCGCATGCTGTTGTTTAAAGTTAGAGAACTCGGACCCTTTAGTTAATGCATCATTTAGAAGTTTGCTGTTTAATGCGTTTGGATTAAATGCAAAGCCGCCATTCGAGTTGCTAGCTTCTTGTTTGCCCCCATTTTCGCCGCCCATCTGCGGTCCCAAGTTTCCGGGAGACTTCAGGTTTCCCATATACTGCGTCATCTTATCACTTGGATTGTATACATACAATCCCCATTGATTATCAGTTGTTGGTTGCTTATCCCCTTGACTGAAAAAGTCAATTATTGACTGCACGAGGTCGTTTGGGTGGTAGGAACCAAAGAGTCCTTGATTTGTTCTCATATCCATGTAGCGATCCATAAGTTTCTCGGGATCAAAAGCATCTCGTCTCTGTATGATGGATGCACCTTTGACTGTAAACAGATGGTTAGATGATCTTGGTTGAAATGCTAGTTTTGTTCATTTATTTAACTTCAATATTTTATCCAAATACTCAGGTATTTAATACTATAGAATAAAAATCATATTCAAGTTGTTAAGAGCGCTAGAAATAACGTACGTGTTTTCTAAACTACTATAATAAATAATTTAACAAGAAATTATAATAATAAAATAAAAACAAATCCGATTTGCTATTTAATGCCAATTTTTATATGCAAACATATGTACATTTATTTCAATTTGAGCAACCTACACCTTAGCAAAAATATGTCGATTTTTCTTATTACCGATTGAAAATTTTATCTACAAATTAAAAAAGGCCAAATGCAAGAATATAAACAATGTCCTTTGAACTCACCTGCAGAAATCATTCCGAAAATGAATAAAATATTCTTAATTAACATGATTGTATTATTTTCCCAAGGAAACTAAAAATTTGTATAATAATTTTAAAAAAGGGAAGTTTCACAATTCTTTATGTTTAATTTGACGCTATTATTTTCATTCAAACTGGAGAGACAGCTGCGAAAGGACAAAAGTGATATCATATCTTAACTTATAAACGTCAATGTCTGATAAAGATATCATACTAATGATAATGTGAATAAATACAAAACTGGAATCGTGTCAAACAAATAGATAAGTTTTCGGATAGCGTAATTATTTTGGATAAAATTAATTGTGAAGAGTTTCAGTGATAAGGGCCTAAAGGGGACAGATTATCGGACAGATAAATGTATGTTTCTGAAATTTGTTTTTGTGGCTATACTATGGCATTTTACATGGTAATCTTTGTTATGAATTCATAAATTAGAATTTGTTCACGAGTTTTTGTTTTGTTTTTTGAATCACAAAAATTCACGTTTCCGTGATAACTAAATAAATCGCATTATTCTAAAAATATCATATTTTAAGAAGACGCTTGTGAACAAATATTTATCAGTTTAAACTGTAAATGTTGACTTAAAGAAAACTATTGCGATGTCTTCTTCAAAATATATTAAAATCAAGAGATAAAAAATGTTGTATTATTAGTGATATAATATACAAGTAGATGTAGCCACAACATCAACATGTCCTAACCATCTTGATAAAAAATATTTTTAGACTTATACACTCGTCTTGTTAAAAATACAAAAGCATTGATAAGACGCCTCAGAAACAAACTTTCTTGTACTTAAAACCAACTGTTTAAACGGTCTACAAAGCGCAAAGAAGGACCAAAATCACTTAACTCAGCTAGAAAAACGCGTATATATTTATAAAAATATATTACATATTATTATATATATATTTATATGTGTGTGTGTGTGTGTTTTAAGATGTTTGGTTTGATTTTCTTTGAAAATTTGTATATAACGTTTATGATCAGAACCTAGCCATATACTGTTAACTTTACCAAACAGTATAGGTAAGACGAGAAAATCTGGTTCAAAAATGTTATTGAAGGGATGCCAATGAAGGTGTCCCGCTTTTATGTCAATCTACAGTAATTTGCTCCGGGCTTTGAACTTCACAAACCATTCCGCGCCATTTGAATATTTTTAGTAATCAGGCACAAAGTTAATTACACACGATGCTATGATACGTAATTGGCCGTAGTAAAACAAGTTAAATGCTATAAAACGTGACAGTACAAAAAATGGCCTGCACTGGGATGAGAATCATGTATTCTACGACATCTGAAGGTTTTTTTATTTTTTTCAAGTTTGTCACGTGACGTTCAGTTCTCCACAAGATTCGTAACGTTTCATATCCTTTCCACGACCGACCCTCTTTTTCGGACTGACATCCGTAACGTTTTAAAAACGTGCACATTTTTTCAAACCCTAAAAGCGGGGTCTGAATTAATGAAGGAAACCCGGAAACGTAATAAAACGTGTGTTTTCAAGTCTTAAAAACTGTAATGGAAATCAACGTAAAAGAATTATGTAAAGTCTGATAAAGCGCAATTTCTGATAAATCTTACGCATAAATACGCTTCACTTTTTTGCGAACGAGGAATATACCGTATTTCAACGATATGGTTGTCCATCCTATCATATGGAAAACACCGTCATTTTACGTTATGGTGATAGCTGTTTGTTTGCTGTGAAATAAAAATCTCAGATAATCATAAACGCACATTTTGACGAAGATACGTTTTAGTACGTTACGGGTCATTATGCGGTATAGGTCAATATGGTATCCACTACGTGTAAAACCGTAAATGAGAAGTTACCGTTAAATGACTGAAACGTAGAATTCCGTAAAAATGATTAATCTAATTAGCAATAATTAATCATCCTGTCTTTAGAAAAATGTCATAAATTAGGTTTTCTATAAGGTAAAACATGTTTTAGAAGCCTTATTAGTTAAATTGAAAAACGCATGGTTGAAATAAGTTAGTATTTGTAGCTTACTTTACCTAAAATTGATTTGAACTACATGTAAATTACAAATTTTATTATCATAAACGATCAGTGACACTCTAAACCCGATTTTTATAAAAATGACATAGTTCTTTTTAAAAAAAACTTGTTTCTTAAAACATTTATTTTATTTACCATCTTTTGAAAAATGCTTTGAAATTAGCTAATGCAAAATAATGTGATGAAAAAATGGCCGGGTTTCCTACGACAAAACAACATCCGCTTTTGAGAATAGAAAATTTTGACACTTTTTTACGTTGTGGGTGTTCTTTCCTAAAATAGAGTGTTTTTGGAGAAACGAAAAAACGAAACGTTTAAATACGTTACTGTATTGGAAAGGGTATATGGTGCACCCTGCGACGTTTCCCAGGCGGTTGCGTTACAGTATGTTTATTTCTACTTCGGTCTGATACGATGTGTGTATTTTTGGTTTTGATTTTACGACGCATCAACACTGTAAAGATCATATGACCTGCTTCACTGATGGAGGAAGACTTCAAGTGCCCCTCTGTGCTTTATTTCAGGTACGAGCACGCATACGAGTAGAACCGCTGACGTTCCGTAAGCTAGCTGGGTAGCTTCCTCACTTGAAAGATTCTGGGGGGGATTTGAACATACAGCGGTAAGGGGCAAGTGGTTAAAATCAACGACCTTAACCACTCGGCTACGGACGTCCCTTGTGTATTAAAAAACAAAGGCCCCGTGCTTGGATTATTCCGGTACAAGTCAAATTAAATGAAGATTATCTAGTAGTTTCAAAACTTGAAAAAACTGCTTAATACTGTGACCTCATTTAATCTAAACTGAGCAAGGATTCACCAAGCAGACACAAAGATAACAATACAGCGATATTAGCATTTATTAATAGTATTAACATATTAATATCTGCAAAACAACAACATTCTTAATTTTAAAGAGTAATAGCAAACACACAAAAAACAAAACTTTGTTCCCTTATACACTTATTTCATTTCATATAGGTGTATATCATTATTATGATATTGAAGAATAATACCAGTACTATAAAATACAGAAAATAACTAAGATTCAAATACAATAAAACCTTCCCTCTTAAGACCACATTTGAGTCACCACCATTTAATTTTATACATGATTTCAGAGACTTTCATTACAGATCTATAAAATAAAATATAAAGTTTCTTTGATGATTTAGAAAATTACAACACAATCAGCCTATGCAATATGCTTTAATTTTAATGAAAACCTTTTAATGAATGTCTTTCATTTCTTTTTCATAACATGGTCCTCCCAAGATAGGATTAACAGTATTGCCTTGTTCAAGAATAAACAAAATAACCTTACAAAATAATGTGTTTCTTTATAAATTTATAACCTGGTATTGTTTGTTCGATTTTAAGTCACATAAATACAGAAGAGTTAGCTGGCAGTTGGCCTGTTAAAATATGCCTGTATTGTAAGATCATTTGTAAATAACGGACAATGCAATACTTCTAAAGTGGAGATTTTTGGAAACATGTTTACATTTATGATTACCCGTATTTTAGGAGACATTAATTATTTTCTTGAAAAAAGAAGGCATTAGAAAAAAAATCTAAAATTAAAATATAACATACTTATGTCTGTATATGAATAATTAAATATATAAGAATGCAAATTTCCATCTTTTTATGCAAAATAATCATATTTTATCATTTCTATGTGAATAATGCTTATTTTACCTCTTTAAAAAATGTATGTTAAATAACCTTTAAAATGGACAACACTTAATTAATCTTTATGTGGGAAAAATTTTATTTTTCAGGGAAAAACACAGTTTTTATTTGAAAATTAAGGTAACTTTTGAAAATGACAAACAAAAGCCTATTTGCAATGTTTTCCAGGAACAGCTATATTTATACTAGTAGGTCATAATAAGTGATATGAGATAAAGGCATTAGACCATTAGTAAAGTACTAACATAAAAAGGTAAAAAAAATACAAAATTATTGCAATTAATTTGCACCAACAGCCGCCCCCCCCCCAAAAAAAAAAAAAAAAATAATTAAACAAAAAAAAATAAATAAATAAAAGCCCTGAAAATAATAGAAATAAGGAATAGATTTGTGTTTCTTTCAACAATATATATGTGTATTTGATAATTATAAGACCTTATAATCAATAAAAGAAGGTGCAGTGTATATGCTTAAATAAATTAGCTTCCCTTAACCCACTGTATTTGTGCAATGGAATTGTCCAGCTTTGAAGTGGGAACAGTACATTTGCCATCAAAGGGATTTCATTATTTCAATAACAAAATAATAAAATTGAGCTACCAACTATTTACTGCCAGGTCAGAATGTACGGATGTTCAGGCAGGCCTGGCTCTATACTGGCAGTAAAGGCTAATTATTTTCTGGTTGTGCAGGTCAAGGATTTATAACTATATACTGTTCAAAACAACTCATCTACTTGATTTGTTCACATGCAAAGTGTTCTTTCCACATGCAAAGTGTTCTTTACATAGCAAAACCAGATTCGCATCAACATTTTTTATTTGATAATCATGAGGTTAATATAACTCGTACACACTGATACTGTAAATTTATAGATTCATGTTTATCTTAAAGAAAACAGAATAGTTAGGAATTTAATTTTTTTTATATGTTGTTTTTTTAAAGGCTATATGGCCGTGTTCATATGATTGGTTGCTATATAACCCTTGCCTAGCCAGCATAACTTCATAACCATTTATATTAACAGCCATATAACCAGTTAAAACATCTTTAAATCTAATTCTGTTTAAAAAAAAATATAAAAAAATATCATAGCACTCCACTGTTAATACTTCATTAATAAACAAATTGCATTAAACAAAAACTCTATAATTATTTTGAGAGTAATTAAGACAAAGAACACATTTTCTGATTAAAAAGGAAACAACAACAATGAAACACTGCTTAGTACTGTTACAAAGCATTCATATCAAGCATAGAACACACTTGTGCTTAAAAATGTAGATATATATTATCTAATAATATAAATAAATAATAATGTTCATTATTATGTAATAATAACAATACAAAATACATATAAATAAAGATGCCCATGATTAATGATCCAAAAGACACAATACTGTAATAGGCAGTAACTGCTGGAAATGATTTTTTTGGTTAGGATTTAGCTCACACCAACATATGGTGGGTTTTTAGCTTCACTGGAGGTGCCCTTCTGTTCCTTATTTCAGGCATGAAAAGCATCTGAGTAGAACCACCAATGTTCCGTAAGCTAACTAGATAGCTTTCTCACAATTGAAAGAATCCAAAGTCCCTGTCGGGATTCGGACACACAGCGGTGAGGGGCAAGTGGTTTGAAGTCAACGACCTTAACCATTCGCAATTGAAACAGTTTTATTTTCAAAAAGCAATTTTCATTTAGATAAACTTCCCTTAGGTCTGACTATATTTAAGTGTTTACATTAATGCAATTAATTTCTTGATTCTTTTTCAGTTGATTATTCATTGAACGTGTATAATTTATAGAAATATCTTAATGTGAACCATAAGAAAAAAGAAAAAATACATACAGTTTATAATCATACTGTTTACAATTACATCAGTTTACAAATGGACATGATGATGAATGAAAGACACTATTTCACTACAAAGATTTATATACATGTAAAAGAATGTGCAAAATAGAGAAATGAATATATTCTATAATTAGCACTACAGTCTACACATATATATGATTAATTACAGAAAAAAAATCTTAAAAAGATCTCAAAAAAGAACAAGAATAATTATGAAAATGTCATTGTTATATACAATTTCTAATACGTTACTTTTGTTTGTTTCATCTAATCTCACATATTCATTTTGATTTTTTTTCAGTTGTTCCCCTTTCTCATTTAGTGTATGCATTCAAAAAGGATTCCATAAGAAAATAGTGTTAGAAATTATTTTTTGTCCAATAAGATGGCAGTATATGAAATGAATCGTAACACATTTACTTTGGTAAAACGGCTAACTATTAATCTGTTTATAAAAAGATAATTTCAACAAAGTGGTTAGTTCTCATAAGTAATTTCTAATAAGCACAAACTTTTACTTAAGATTCTACATTTAATTTAAACAAAATTTGCTGACATAATGTCATTAAGTCTGGTAAACTTTAATGCAATAAAGCCCTAGCTACCCCATAGATAGCACCCGCTTCAGCAGTATAGAATTTTCAGAATTACAAGATATTTGAATCAATTATCCAAACTTAACATAAAAAATATAAAATAACAACAACAAAAAACACACAAAAAATATCCCTAAGTTTTTGAATGCCAAGAAAAGACTGAATCATTTTTATCACCATACACAAGTGTAATAAAGCAATGAGGCAATGTGGCATAATTAGTGTGACATATAGCCTAAAGGTATATGCTTAATGTTAGCCTTACACTACAAATATTAGCATGTCTATGAAAAAAAATTTTTTTTCCATTTTTTTTTAATGTAAACAGTTGTTATTTCATGTATGTGACACATAATTATACTTGTGTATGATCATTACTAACTTTGTTGTCAATGTACTCTTTCTGTAAGTAAATATTATGCTTGCAAGAGGCTCACGCATAATAATTGTACTAAATATGTTCAATAAATCCAGTATTGAATCCACACTCATTAAATATCCTGTATATATTGATAAAAACAAAGACAAGGCTTTTACGAAATTAAAAAAAATACCCTGTCAAACGTCAACCCTAAAACATAAAAAGTATTCTGTAATTTTGTACACAGTTGTAACCACATTTGTATATTATTAATATAATTTTATATATTGTGTTGAGTATCATGTCCATATAATACTTTAATAACAACTTTTCTAACAGATGGAAAACACAATTTATGTACCTCATATTTCATAAATCATATCATCATGAACACTCTGATTCTTGCTTGGTTACATAATTGATTAATTTCAATATGAAGTTTGTATAAATATGTTGTATACATGTTAACTTCTATGTTGTGTTCATCAGCCGAGGTCCACATAGAAGATCGAGAAACCAAATGTGTAAACCTATATTAATAAAGGGGCTACTTACTTACTTACATACATACTGTGCTTTATGGCGTTTCCAGGAGTACTGCAACTTTGAACAACAGCGAAGAAGAAAAATTTATACAAGTATCGAGAATTTTCTATAACTTTGCATGATCCAAGAGAAGAATCATAATTGGAACAAATTGGTAACCATCATACTTTTTGAGTTATCAGCCACTGAAAGAGAGTTTTTTCCTCTTTCAGGTGATTTTCAACTTTAATCTATGTATAATTATGTAAAAAGTTGCAGTACTCTCAGAAATCCATATTGACACTTAACAACAATACATGGGTATTTTCTAGCATTACTGATTATAAGTGACTCATCAATACATGAAATTTACAACGTCACTTTTCAGGCCATATAGTATATTGAATTCAAACAACAAATACTGTAATACATGTATAATAAACTTTAAGACATATCAATCATGAGTATTGCTAAAGACATTTGTTTTTCTTAAATTTTCAAGCAAAGCAAAATAACGTGTATGGAAGAGAAATAAAAACATCATAAACTAGTCTACATGATATTATAAATAGTATACAAATTCACATAATACGCAAGAATTTTAGCCGTTATTTATCAAATAAAAATATACCATAGTGTAGGAGCCTAGGAGTGTAATAAACCTATTAAATAAAAACAATATTACACTGGTGTAATAATAAACAATGTGATGTTGTTTTCGTTATTTAAAAGGGCTATAAATGCTAGTGTCAAGGTGTCAACAACAAAAATAAAAATTCTTTATTTTATACTGAATAAGTCATTATATTTGTGTAGGTTGATTACTTACATGTAATTTATTGAATAAAAATCAAATAATCGTGTGCTCACAAGAGGTCATATAATAATCATATAATTTTGTTAAGTATTATTCATTTTGTTCAATAATTCAGTATTGAACCAACTCATTCAATATCCTTTATATATTCAAACCTTCAAATTTTAATGTTAAGATAAATGTATTTTGCATTCTTTTAATGTTTTTCCCCCCTTTAATTAAGTAAACTTAAGAAGATACATAAACTAAACAAAGTTGAATGGCATCCTGTAAAACACTATACATGTATATAATGTTTACACTATTTACCCATATCAGAACACACTTTTTGTCACAAGAAAAAATAATGAAAGTTGATATAAATTATTAAGCATAAAAGGTATCATTGTTTAAAGCCCATGATGACTAGTTGCTGCCCTGTTCTAAATGTCTGTTTTCTGTTCTTTATAGTTTGTTTATTTTCTGTTCAGTATTATCTCCCTTTCCTACATTTTTTCACTGCTTATTAGCATTTTGATATGTAGGTGGAGGTCTTTTGGGCGGCCCTCCAGGTGCTGAAGAGTAAGGTGCTGATGCCTGATGGCCAAGACTGCCTCCCTGGGGATAAGGTGAAGCACCACCTGCCCCACCCTGGGGATATGGTGGAGCACCACCAGCCCCACCCTGGGGATATGGTGCCTGGCCTCCAGCACCCTGGGGATAGGGAGGGGCACCAGCTCCACCCTGGGGATATGGTGCTTGACCTCCTCCACCCTGGGGATAAGGAGGGGCTCCTGCGCTACCTTGGGGATAAGGGGCTTGACCTGCACCCTGGGGATAAGGAGGTGCACCTACCCCACCTTGGGGATATGGTGCCTGGCCTCCAGCACCCTGGGGATAGGGAGGTGCACCTGCCCCACCTTGGGGATATGGTGCTTGACCTCCTGTACCCTGGGGATAAGGAGGGGCACCACCTTGTGGATAAGGTGCCTGACCTCCAGCTCCCTGGGGATAAGGAGGGGCATTTCCACCACCACCACTGCCTTGTGGGTATGGGGTTTGACCTGCACCTCCCTGTGGGTATGGGGTTTGACCAGCACCCTGAGGATCATGTACATTGCCTTTGCCTCCCTGTGGATATCCAGGTTGAGCCCCTGGGTATGGACCCTGACCTTGCTGTTGAGGTTGTCCACCAGGCTGAGCCCCTGGGTAGGGACCCTGCCCTTGTTGTCCTGGCTGTGCACCGCCTGTGGAAGGAGCCATTGGTCTTGCAGGTCTTTGAGGTTTAGGTTTGATCCCTTTTTTCTTCATGTAATTTACAACCTGGTCCGGTATCTCAGCAAGTACAGATTTAGCGAGAGCTGCCTGCAGTAGATTCTGGTTATTCCCATATGCACCTTTCATAAAATCTCTAAATGGAACAAACTGAAAAAAATGAATAACATATTTCATTAAATACATTATACATGGTCAGCCTATGCCAAAGATTCCCAAGTAAAGAAGACCACACACAGAAAATGCACATCTTTTAAAGCTATTATCCACTAAGCTTTTGCTCAATGTTTGGAGTAGATTCAGATTGTACCGATATTTCACTTCTCACTCTCAAACTCAGAATGTAGTTCTGAAAATGTCGACAAACTGCTTTTGATATGCAAGATGATAGCATAATATTTTATTTAAATATCCTTGCTATTGCCAATCTGGGCTTGTGAATAAATATATGGTCAAAGTTTTGATCAATCAATAAATCAATCAATCAAGCCAGCAAGCAAGCAATCAATTTATCAATCAATCAAACAAACAAAATTCAATCAAACAAAGAATCAATCAATAAAAAATATCAAGTTTTAAGAATAGTCCTACACTACAATGTAGATTTAAATTATTTTAGTTCAACTGTAAAAGAAGCTTTAAGATTAAGGACACACTCTAATCTGTTCCTGTAATAAACCAGAACTAAACAATGAGTGTTAAGTTACTTGCTCAAGGGAGCAACAGCTTACCCTAATGGGGTTTGAATTCACATGGCCTTAAATAACCAGTCCGATGGCTAAACCACTGGGCCACACTATACATATACAGTAGCAAATGAATGAAATTTATTCAATAATCTATTCATTCAATCTATTTTCCTTCTTTTTACCAAGTAATCAAAGAAATTTACAATGGCCAGTATCATAGATCAAATAGTATACAAAGTGATTATATCAAATAAAAACTTACTTGCACAATATCCCTTTCAGCATATCTTCCTTCAATACCAAGTCTCCTACCATCTGCATCCAATACATCCATTGCTACAATTCAAATATTGTGTTCACATAAATTATGGTACTTTAGTAAGATACAAAGAAACAAAATTGTATTGCATTATAGTACTGTTTTGGTTTGAGTCATACTGACAGTTTCCATCATGTACTGACAGTTTTCATCATGTACTGACAGTTTCCATCATACACTAAAAAAGTTTCCATCATACACTGACAAAGTTTCCATCATACACTGACAAAGCTTCATCATATACTGACAAAGTTTCCATCATACACTGACAAAGTTTCCAGCTAACACTTACAAAGTTTCCATCATAAACTGACAAACTTTTCATCATAAACTGACAAAGTTTCCATCATACACTGACAAAGTTGCATCATATACTGCCAAAGTTTCCATCATTCACTGACAAAGTTCCCAGCAAACACTGACAAAGTTTCCATCTTAAACTGACAAAGTTTTCATCATAAACTGACAAAGTTTCCATCATACACTGACAAAGTTTTCATCATAAACTGACAAAGTTTCCAGCAAACACTGACAAAGGAGGATTATGTATTCCTAGAAATTATTTTGCGCTCTTTAAGCTGGCGTTTTTCGCTGGGTAACATTTCCGCAAATTTTTACCCGTGAAAAAGCTGCATGTAAGAAAACATTTGTACCTCCAACCACATAGATAAATTTTCATTATGTCATTATGAAGTCTTCTGATGAAATATACATTAGTTTAACCTATGCTTATCTGATACACATTTAGTTAAAAGTTCCGTATCCATTATTTACAGATTAAATGAAATCATATAATACATGTTATTTACAGATTGCATACTTTGAATGAAAGTAATTAACTCGCTAAAAAGGAAGGTGTTTTTGTTTGTTACAAGTACAATAGCAAATAATACCAATATGAATAAACGTTTTCTGTTTATTATTAATGGTTAAAATTTATATAATTCAAACAATTAATTTGTTTTCAGCATAAATCATACAATTATTTATCAATTTTTAAATGCAAATAACACTGTTTGTCATCTGAATGCATTTTTCTGGTATTTGAGAATTACATCAAAATAGAATGGTATTTTATATCTTACATATAGATTGTTTATAAGTACAATTTAAAGATTTTGTCAATATCTTATACTTTTAGTCTTGTCTTGCAGGTATACACTGGACAAATACCGAAACCTAATATATATGCTCTGTACCCCCAGCGACTTAATATTCCCGAAATTTGCGGTCACTATGATTGCGTGAAAGTTTATTTCCGCAAAAATGCCATCCTTATAAAAACACGTAATATTGTCTCCGTAAAAGTTTCTAGGAATACGGTAAGTCTAATAATTGGTGAAGTCTATCAATGAATGAAGTAAGTTCAGTAATAGGTGTGGATGTTCAAAAATAGGTGGAATAATTTCAATATCATATTTAGTTCATTATTAAAGTATTTGAAAGTCCAATAATATGATGAAGTCCAATAACAGATGAACTAAGTCTAATATTAGGTGGAATAAATCTAATTATAGATAGACGTCCAATAATAGAGTCATTGGAATAAATCCAACAATAGGTGGATTAACTATTTAACATACCATCAAACTCTGCATTGCCAACTCCAACTATGATGATAGACATGGGCAAAGATGAGGCCTGAAATAAAGAATCATAAATTTTGCATGAGCACATTTATTTTACACCTTATACAATATAACCAACAAACTGTCTGTGTTTAAACCACATAATGTTCCGACAGAAATCATTCTTCCACCCAATATGATCAATTTATCCTTCTTTCCTTTTCAGAGTCCAAAAGACCAATATCAAATGTATATCGTACCCCATATAGCTGTGTTTCCATTTTGAGAGTTCAAAAAAAAAAAATGTATATCAAATGCATAACCTATCTCATATAGCCTCGTTTTCAGAGTCCAAATATTCTTATTGTACTTGAAGTAACAAAGTTTTGTCAAAATGTAAAAAATGATAGTGTGAAATAAATACGTGGACTATACCTTATTGAGAACAATATCGATTCTATTGGACTCATATATCAGACTCAACAAACACCTGGTTCAGTACAGGTTTGACATCTGTGTCCAATAGAATTCAGAATTGGAGTAAGTATAAGAACTTCACCTAAAAATATCATCCTAATTCGCTAAAGGTAAAACCATATCAATTTCTACAACAAGGTAAGGTTTTGCTGCTTCTGCTTATAACAATATACAAATGTATATATATATATATATGTGTAGTTTTGGAGAAAAAAAAATCTGGATAATTTTTTCATATCCCTTTGGACTGAGTATTGAAGATAATAAGATAAATTATATAAATATATTTACATTGATTATAGAACTAATGGTATGGTTCATGTCTGAGATGACACCATCAGTTATGATCAGCAGAACAAAATAACTTGAGCCGTCCTGCTTGGCCGAGGCAAATCTGTAAAACAAGTTAATCATACTTATAAAAGCCACTTCTTCTCTTTGTAAAAAAAAAAATTACTAAAAAATACAGCAGCGCATTTTGTTATTACAAAAAGTTCTTGTAAGCAAAAGATTTGTACATTTACCATCTTGTCAGTTTAGTTATAAGTGGTCTTTTTTCACTTCAAGAATGAATGAATTCAATAAAATAACAAAATTACTTTTGAAAATTTCAATAACTTGACCTTGAGACTCAAGGTCTATTAAAGGTCAAGTCATATCAGAATAATTCAACATGTCAGTTTTGTCATAATTGCTCTTTTGTCCAAGACTAAATCAAAGCCATAAATAGATAACAAAGTTATGACAATTTAAGCAAATTTCAATACTTTGACCTTAACGTTCTGTCAATTAAAGGTAAAAAAATGTTTGGTAGGGGTACAAATAATTATCATGGCATTTCCAAATGTACATTTGTGAAAATATATTCCTGTATCTAACAGTGTAAAGTTAATAATCTATTATATACTTACCTCATTACATGATTAATAACAGGTGAGAAGTTTGTTGGTCCATAAAGTTGTACTTGTTTTAATGAAGTATAGTATGCCTGTAGAACACCCGGTATGCCAGCACAATATGGATTGTTTGGATTGAAATTCTGAAATAACATTGCATTAAATTTCATTAAGTTCAGTGTTTTAAGTCACAACAATATTGTAATGGTAAAATAATCATGCAATGAGTTTGAAGCTTAACTTGTATAGGAAGACCTCAGGTGGCCCTCAATGTATTTTTTCAGATACAAGCAGGCACCTGACTAGAACTACTTACCTATAAAAAGCTAGCTTGATAGTTTCCCCAACACAAAAGAATCCAAAGTCCCTTAAGTCACGCTTTAAAATTTATAATATGGGGACATATCAGCTTAAATGATGGCAAAGACCTCAGTTCCCATTCCCTGCATTATTTTAGGCACAAGTGAGCATCTTAATAGAACCACTGTGGTTCCAAAAACTAGATGGATAGCTTCTTTACAAGAAAGAATCCCAAGTCTCTGGAAGTAATCAAACTAACAGTGGTGAGGGGCAACAGATTCAAAGTCAATGACCATAACCACTTGGCCACAGACTACACTACTAGCTGCTGAATTTTTATCATTTTAATAACTGAAATACCTCAAACTCACAATGGACTGTTCTTAATCAAAAGTCGACGGGTCAAGTCTATTATATAAATAAAAGGGAAAGGGGTAAAGATTCAACTTACACATGGAAACTCAAATGAGACTGACCCATCTGGTAGCCTGGCACCAAATCCTAATACTGGAAACAATTTATCTCTGAAAAAACAGGAAATTTATTTTACATGGTCTATTTTTATTTGTCAATGTTTATTTGTAATGTCTATTTTCATTTGTCAATGTTTATGTGTAATGTCTATTTTCATTGGACAATTGTGATGTTTATACAACTGATATAAATATACATGTCTACTTTAAATTTTCATTCCCCACCCCCCACCCAAAAAGGAATAGTGCTGTATTATACTTTTGTACTTTTAACAGCTAAGTTATAATTATGTTAGTGTATGAATAGTAATATGTATATCACCTGATGGCTCAGATGATATAACCTTACAACTGTTTACATTAGGTCATATAACCTTTCAAAAACCTTAAAGACTTATTCCCTATTTCTTGATTGCATTTCAATTTTTAAATTTAATTTGTCATGCAATATACATATAAATTTAAACTTTTTTCTCATCTCAATTTCACTTATATTTTATTTTTACATCACACCAATAATATAAAGGTCATATGGAGAAGTTCAAGCTCTACTATTAGAGGATGAAATCAGGTCCCTCTTTGAACTACTGTAACCCAACGAATATTTGCGACCAATTGATATTCGCTTTATTTGTGGATGGCCACGAAGCGCGAATATTTGTTTGCGTGAATAAGTCCGCACGATTTCACGAATAAATTGGAGAGAAATTTTTATTTTAGACGTTGTTCATGCAAAGCTACTTGACCGGATATGTTCGAATTTTACAGCACCTGTTAGGAAGTAATGAATTGTTATGAATATTGCCATAAAGCAATAAAAACACAAACTAAGTAAACCACTACTATTTTATAAATATCAAAAGAACTCTATGTCAATATAGCAATCAAAATAAACATCAACATTTTAATACAGTTTATGAAATACTAGTAGGCCTATTGTCAATCACGTTCCTTATTACACATTTCACTTACCAATACAATATAAGGCTAGCGTATTTTTAATCCCATTTAAGACACCAATAATGACCTCAATTATTGAAGATTAATAGTCGGCTAATGGATTTTACGGCCCCATTGGACTTTCCAATCCGCAAATATTTTTTTCGGAAATCAAAAAAACGCGGAAATTAATATTCGCGAATATGTCCAACCTCGGCAAAACGCGAAAATTTGAATTCGCGAATATAAATTGGGTTACAGTCTTGTAAGCATGAGTGGGCAGCTAAGTAGAACACAGAGACTCCATAAGTAAGCTGAATAGCTTTCTTATCATGAAAAATCCAAAGTCCTTGGTGATATTCAAGCACAATGTGGTGAGAGACCAGTGATAAACTACTAGCCTAAGAGCTGAGGACCATTTACTAGTAATAAATTTTCTTTGTCAAAATCTAAACCTTAAACAAGATCAAATTATATAGTCTCTTCTTAACAAAAATCCACATCTTACAAAATTTTGATTTCACAACGCTTCGGAATGCAAGATGGAGTCAAATATGGCTGCCGATTTTATACAAAATGGGTAGCAACGTTTTTTGATTAGGCTTTACTACAAATGTTCATAAAATGTTCATAAATTATTATAACTTCATTATAAAGTATACTTACGAATCATAATCTTGAATGATTTCACCGACAGCTTGTATGGCTAAGGCATATTGGTTCTGTTTGTATGGATCGTAATAATGCAAGGAATTAGGCTGTGATGGGTTACCATTTGATGCTGTGAAATCTATAGCTACTGTGAAGTTCATTTCAACTCTGAAATATTCATATAAAACCTATCTGTATGTTTGGATATAGAAACCTGTTCACACTTTCCAACCATTTTTGCTTAGAAGAGTTCTATTTATAATCATTCATAATTGATAACGAAGACAAAAACTATCAAGAACAAAAGTTGTCCTTAACTATGCTTCACTATTCTCATTGGTGCTTGACAGTAAGAAAATGGGGCATAAGTCTGTGAAAAGGTTACTCAGAGTTATGGGACCTGTGCCCATCATATGTTAGATATTCACACAAAAAAAACAATAACATGTATGTGAAGTTTAGTTTATACAGAACTTGTTCATTTCAATTGTGTAGGAAGCTATTAGCTTATAGACATACTCTCGAATCCGTTCCTGGAACTAACCAGTACTGAGCAATGAGTGTAAGTAAAGTTTCTTGCTTATGGAAACAATGGCTTTCCCATTATGAGATTTGAGCCAATGCAGCCAGCGATCATTAGATTATTAGTCTGATACGTTAACCCCTCAGCCATGTCACCACTCTTTTTAAGCTAATAATACTAGTGTAAAGGTTAATGTTCAACCCCTAGATCCCTTGTTGAAGCAGCTGAGGCTATTGGCAAAAATACACCACTCCCTTTATTTTATTTTTTGTTTGTTTTTGTTTTATGAGACACAAACACAGTTATGGTCATATTGTAACAAAACAGGATCGAAAGACAATTTTGGCTTACCTAAGATGTTTCAAACTTAAAGTAACATCAGTGGTGAAAACCACCTCATCTCCTGGAACTAAGAGATGCATAGACTTCAATATTTCAAACCCATGAAGTCGCCTATTATGATCAAGCAAGTTTAAATGGTGGCTGCAATTCTAATGCCTCAACCTGTTGAGGCAACCCCTCAGCCACAAGGGGAACCAATCCCTTTCTTAAGAGCCCAATACAGTCTTAAGATACTTACCCTCCTTGAAGATAGTCCAGGAATGATGGTACAATCTCAGTTTTACAGTTCATCACCATTAACTCCCCTGAATTCTTGTAATTTCTTTTCTTTGCTTTCTTCTTTGGGTTAATTACCTTCATGATATTGAAAAGTAAATACTCAATATCTTAAAGCATTTAATTTTATATTCTAAGTTAAAAAGGGTTACGATTCTGTCAAACTCCTTGTAAGAGTAATGGGACTTGGGCAGTGTCTTCCTACATGTATCATGCCCTTCAAATAAACATGACAAGTTTCAACCCATTCCCTTCAGTAGTTTTGGAGATACCAACTTTAATGCAAAAACTTCCCTCACCTGGGTGAATAAATTGAACAAAATAATAGTGCTTTGTAATTCCTCTCAAATCTTTGTTTATTATCCTTTTACCAATGTATTTACAAACTTTATTTTTTTACAGATTTGAGCAGGAAGGTTAAAAAGCCTTAAAAAAACCACAAAATCAACCAAACTCTCTGCTCTGGCTTGCAAAAATAGAACCACTGACTTTCTGTAGACTAGTTTTACAGCATCACCAGAATTAGTTAATAGTCCTTGGAAGGATTAGAACACACAGTAATGATTCTGAATAGGTAATCTAAATTACTAGGACCCCAACAAGCAAAGATCCTTCAAAATGTTACATGGACAACCTACAACAAAATTAAGCCTTAAACAATCTCTAATGAAAAAAGATTTACCAACCTGAAACATTGTATTTGAAGTTGGTGCTTTAACCAGCTCTTTTAAATTGGTGGTAAATTCTCCTATAAGATCATGGCTGTTTGAGCAAAACAAAAATACTTGTAAGCAATAATATCTCTAAAGAAAACCAGCTTCTTCCAAAGAAAAACAAGAGGGCCATGATGGCCCTGAAGTCGCTCACCTGTATATAGGCCCCTGGAACCAGTTTAAACCCCAGGGCTTTTATTTGAATAAACTTGGTAGACACCCATTAGAAGATGTTTCATGCTAAACATCTAAGGTCTAGCTCGTTGGGATTTTTAAAAGAAGATTTTTTTCAAGTTTTTTCTTTACACATATAGATAAAAACAATGACACCCCTGAGGTAGGGCCAGTTTTGACCCCAGGGCTTTTATTTGAACAATCTTTGTAGACACTTACTAGAAAATGTTTCATGCTTAATATCTAAACTCTAGCTATTCGGGTTTTTTCAAAGAAGATTTTTAAGTTTTTGCTATACACATATAAGGAAAATCAATGTCCCCCGGGATGGGGCCAATTTTGACCTCAGGGCTTTTATTTGAACAAACTTTGTAGACACTCACTAGAAGATGCTTTGTGCTTAATATCTTAACTCTAGCTATTTGAGTTTTTTCAAAGAAGATTTTTTAAGTTTTTGTTATACACATTTAAGGAAAATGAATGACCCCCAGGGCGGGGCCAATTTTGACCCCAGGGCTTTTATTTGAACAAACTTGGTAGACACTCACGAAAAGATGTTTCATGCTTAGTATCTAAAGTCTAGCTATTTGTTTTTGTTTTTTTTTTTCAAAAAAGATTTTTTAAGTTTTTGCTATACACATATAAGGAAAATCAATGACCCCCGGCGCGGGGCAAATTTTGACCCCAGGGCTCATATTTGAACAAACTTGGTAGACATCCATTAGAACATGTTTCATGCTAAATATCTTAGCTCTAGCTCTTTCGGTTCTTTAAAAGAAGATTTTTAAGTTTTTACTATATGCATATAGGGAAAATCAATGGCCCCCTGGGGCCGGGCCAATTTTGACCCCAGGGCTTTTATTTGAACAAACTTGGTAGACACCCATTAGAAGATGTTTCATGCTAAATATTTAAGCTCTAGCTCTTTGGGTTCTTTAAAAGAAGATTTTTTAAGTTTTTACTATATGCATATAGGGAAAATCAATGACCCCCTGGGGCGGGGCCAATTTTGACCCCAGGGCTTTTATTTGAACAAACTTGGTAGACACTCACTAGAAGATGTTTCATGCCAAATATCTAAGCTCTAGCTCTTTTGGTTTCTTAGAAGAAGATATTTAAAGTTTTTTCTTTTGGTTGCCATGGCAACCAGAGTTCTGCATGGAATTAAATTCTTTGAACAATTTTCAAAGGTGACCACCAAAGGAACATTCCTGTGAAGTTTGGATGATATTGGCTTAGTGGTTTATGAGGAGATGTCATTTAAAGTAAAAGTTTACGGACGACGGACAGACGGACGACGGAAGAAAAGTGATCACAAAAGCTCACCCTGTCACTTTGTGACAGGTGAGCTAAAAAGTTGGGAAACAAAATTTATGTCTATTACAAACAAGATAAAGATAATATTGAAAAAGAATGCCATATTGTCATAAAATATATAGAGGATATTCAAGATTTTTCTATAAAAACATGATTTATTTTCATCAAGTGGTATGAAAATAAATATTTTGAGAACAGTGGCTACAAGTGAAATATGATCATTTTCACATCACAAAATAGTTACATATCTGGCTGGGATGATTGACCAAAATTACATCATTTAATCTTATTACATCGTTTACATCACAATATTTGGCAAGAAATACACTACTAACCTTCCATCAGAATCCCAATCGTAGCACTCTACTTTAATAGTTCTATCATGATCGCCATTACACAATGTTCTCGCAGTCACAGAAAATGGCTTCCATGTTGGATTGAGTGTATTTTTAATGACCTCTGTCTTGTGAACAACAGTGTAACTGAAATAACAATTTTTTCGTAATAAACCATAGAAAGGTTTGTCTTTCCCAGAGGTATAGTTAGTCTAATTGTAGTTATTATTGATCAATGGATATATTGATAATATTTCAACTGAATCTCGAAAACAAATGTGTTAGGTTGGCTTCAAATAATTTGTTTCCATTTATTTTTTCTGGTTTGATGCTAGCCTTTTAATTTATAACAGCATCAAAAGACAGGCCAGCCTTTGTACCATGCAAGTCTCTATAAAATTGACTAACTTTTAATCATCATCTTGATTTCCACAGAATTGATAATAAACAGCAAGTCCATTATTTTTCTGTCAATTAAGCACTGTATGGCCATAATGGACAAGTAACTGGACTCTGACCAAGAAATTTTCAAACTGAGACTAATTAGTGTATGGCTATAATGGACAAGTAACTGGACTCTGACCAAGAAATCTTAAAACTGACACTAATTAAGTAAAATATTTACGGTTTTGTTTATAGAAATAATACAGATGTTGAATTATTTTTTTAAAGAAATTATATGCACATTAATTGAAAAGAATATGAAGAAATTCTGCAGAAAAATTTACAAAATAAACATGCCAAAACCAAGATATATTCTTGGCTAAACTTACATCCCATCTCCATTTGCTCGATAAAATATAAGAAATGGATCCGACTTTCCAAGGAAATCTTTCTTGTCCAGACCTGACGCCCTTAGCTGCATATACACAGTTTCCTGTACATAGAAAACATAACTGAAGATGTGTAAAATATAAATTTAACATCTACAGTGATTAACGAGATATGAAGCTGCATATAAACACTAACCTAAAGTTGTATCAACACTAATGTCAGAGTGGGTAGGAAAGTCCAACTGTTCTTTGAATAGTTGAATTTAAAAGGCAACAATAATGGAAAATAAACTCATAATTGCAGTGTCTTACCTTAGATGAACTTAATTCCTCCGTCCTGACTGAAATAAAAAAGTAGCATATTATTACTGAATACCTTTACTGAACTTATTTCTGATTGCATAAAATATAACTGTTAATCGTTTTAATATTAGAAACAAAATTTTATTTAATACTACAATTGCATTTCAATCATAATTTATAGAGAATATTGTATTAATGCCAAATTGTTGATGAAACTCAAAAGTATTAAGTTATCAATTGGCATAATTGATTATAACTTGATTATGCACCATTTCAACCAATGCTATGGCAGCATTTTCAGGTGTTTTTTATGGTTTGGGTTTTTTGTTGCACCAACACATTATAGGTCACATGATGACGTTCTAGCTTTACTGGTGACGGAAGACCTTAGATGCCCCTCCATGCATCAAGTAAAACCACCGATAGCTTTCTGTTTCTGTTAAAGCAAATATTAAAGAAAATATTATTTCCTGTTTTATTTAGTAAGTATGTCTGAAATATCAAGGTAAATATAGAAATAAAACCTTTTGGGCTAGTAAAAATGGCATCTTTTAACCTGAGGAAAAAACTTGTTTTTGTCACTGATGCTATTTTTTTCCACAAAAAATAAAGAAATTGTTCAAATTATAAAATAAATTTTGTTTAGCCGATAAGGAGACTGAAGCTAGTTTATGACACTTGCTATCCAAACTGGTATCAAATTAAATGAAAATCACAGTGAATTAATTCATCAACAATTTCAAATTAAAATTATTTTCCTTGTCAAATTGAACTACAAATATCTATATTCTATTTTCTCAAAGCAATTTACATATTTTTTGTATCATATATACTTACCAAATATTTTAGCTGTCCCTTGAATTCCCCTAGAAAACAATTAGAATAAAAGCATCATAATTAAATATGAAGAAAGTCATAACAACACTTTAAAGGTCATAATTATCATGTTTTTCAAGCTTGGCGGGATAAGACCATGCAATTGAATGCCCCTGAATGCATTATTTCAGTCAAGTGGGGGCACTTGTGTAAAACTCTTGAGTTTTTTCCTGTATTATCCTTTTCAGAATTTTTAATTCTCAGTGTATCACTTGTTAATCTATGGAAGAATTTCAAATTTTATGTTTTAGCTTTTTTGACCTCAGTGGAACTTCCTAAGTGTATTTCATTCAAAGGAAAATTTTTCTACACCAAGAACTAGTAAACACTTTATGTAGTAATACCCCATCAATACGTCCCAATCTTATGACTACAGGGAGCACAGTATCTGTATCTCTGCGGATAAACTTTAAAATTACTTACAGCAGCTTCTTTTCTATTTGACCACTGCCACATCCTACTATTTCACCAAGAGTGCATTCCATTCTACCTAGAAAATCCTGAAATAAATATTACAATTAATTAACATTCTAGTTTCAATAAACTGTAGTTTCATTTTATTCCTTTTTTTGGTTGAGAAAAAACAAAGCTTAGGTATACCTTGCTGTCAAAAGATAATGCAAAATCATATTTAATTTAAAAACTATTTATTAAAACTTAATAATTTTATTACATTTTAATCGGTTCTATTAATTCAATAAAATTCATTTCGTATCTTCTATAACATGGAAAAACCCTGTCGGGATAACACAATATCGGGACTGTAACATTTTTAGATCTGTGCAAAATAACAAATTAAAAGATACAATACTTACATGAGATGACAGTCTTCCACTAGGTGAGTCTACATCATATCTGTTAGAAACAAAACAAAACATATACAGTGACTCACTGAATGAAACAACATTCTGTTATATAGGACCCTTTTTAAGATGGCAAAGTGTAACTGCCGCTAAATCACTACATGTATATAGAGTAACTGAATTAAATGACTCCCTCTATATCAAAAAGCTTATTATTTACACAACAATTTAAATATTTCTTTCAAAATGAGAATCATTGACTTACATTTCAAACTTCAGTTTTTGAGACTCTTCAAAGAAATAACTCATAGTGAACTTTTTCACAAAATCTGGATTCAATGTGTCCTTAATCATCTCTGTCCTGCCAAACTGAAATATATATGTAAATACTGTATTGACTTGTCTATAAGATGGGCAACATATAAGTTTGGTCACTCAAAGATGTGGCCACCTATAAGATGGCGGGCTATATAATATAGAGTTCTATACTGAATGATGATTTATCACATGATATTGCTTCTTTAAACAATACATACATATAGGAAATATATTTTGAGAGTTTTACAGTACAAGACTATAAAAGAATGGATATGTGCAGCAAAGTTATTTTCATGACATCATCTGATTTACTGGCAACAAATTTGATGTCATATGGCATGTAAACATTGTAACCTTATTTTGTGTGTAACCTTGTAATAATGTGCATGAGTGCTCAGTCTGTTTAAATCAGGAAATAGAATGAAGCATGTTGGAATTCTTTTAATTATACACACACCTTAGATATCAAAATTGCTTGTCAAACTTTGATACTGCCATTAACCTGGCTTCAAAATAAATTCATACATGAACCTTCCTAATTTTCATATCATTTAGATCAGACTTATTATGCAAAAGTTACAAAGCTTGCCACCAATTGGCTGTAAAATACCTTCAAAGACCCTTTTATTATGTCTTTAATGAAATGACAACACCTTTAAGATTTTATCTGACTATTTCTATCCATTACACAGCAATTACTGATAAGCCCAAGTATCAGATAACAGAGCAAGCAATACCTACCTCATGAAATGAATTCGCTTTGATGTCCCAGCAGTACAGAACACACATTGGGTCTGATTTAGAGAAAGCATCTTTGTCTCTTAAATTTCTGAAATTTACAGAAAAAAAAAATAACTGTATACATATTCCTTTAGACCAATTCTTTTCCAATGCCACTAACATTCAGGTCAACCATACACTGTGATCAAATTCTACATTGCTGGCAGTTTAATGCAAATACATGAATGTCAGTTTGGGAAATAGATCCAAACTGTAAACACTACAAAACAGAGTCTGTCACACAAATCTACACCTTAGTGCAGTAACAGGGTTACTCCTTATAATAATATAAATAATAAAAATTAACCCTCTAATGCACCAAGACAAAATAATGTAACTAGGTGTATTTTAAAAGAGCTACAAGAGCACAAAACATAAAATATTGATGTAATAATTAACTATCTATTATCAGCTGAAAAACAAGTGAATATTTTGATAAGGTTATTTAAGTTTCCCAATTTTCTTATGGTAACCATAGGAAGTTAATGTGTAACTTGCTATAGAATTATCTTTTTTATTTCTACTTTATTTTATTAATTTCTTTCATATGAAACTAACCTGCATGATACACTAATCTCCACTTGTGATGAAGGTGCTGCAGCTGAGCCTGCCTGAAATCCCTGACCTGGTATTCCTGCCATAATGTTGTATATTGTATATTATTTCGCTCCTGAACTGCTATACAATCTAACACATTGCCTTGAAACCTTGTTAACCTGTAAGAACTGATAAAAAAGACTGATTTTTTTTTTTTGGCATACAATGTATATACCCCTTACGACAGTGTTGGTGTTTGTAGTTTTCACTCCGGATCACGGCGGTAAGCCACATTGAATTTACCAGAGCCAGGGCATCATTCCTGGGCAAGCTGTCAAGCAGTTTACCAGTACTAGTTGCCGTCACTTTCGCAAGGAACTGAAACTTCTGTACATACCAGAGCGAAGTACAGTGCAAATGACCATAGAAAAGATTTTATGATCAATCGCAATGAAAGTTACCTGCACTGTCCAGGAATCAAACCTGGGTCACCTGATTCACAGTTCAACGCTATACATATTGAGCTGTATGACTAAATACCGAATATGTATTCATATTCGCGAATATGGACGGGAGTACCGAATATGAATATTATTTTCTTAAAATCATCTCTTATGAGATTACTTACGTCAACAGAGACTATTAATTACTTGTATGATATGTATTTTAATGAAAGAAAATAAATTCTGATCTTTTGGTTGTAAATTAATTACTGTGACCAAAAAGTTACCCGAATATGAACAAGAATGACAAACATGAACCTTAATACTATTAAAACAGTACATAAAATAGCTCACAAAAGTATAGAAATAGATATTTCAAACTATAACTTGAAATGAAACCAAAGTTACCTTGTTTTAGCATAGATGACAGCTTAAATTTGCTAAGTAATTTAGTTACTGTGACTTGCTATACAGTACTGTAAAGATTTAATTCATATTCATGACAGATTAAGAAGAGGATACCGAATATGAATATTAAATAGATATAAATGAACTTTGTCTGAAATAGTTTCGTTATTATATACTTGCATCATGTCATTGAATGAAATTAAATGAATTTAATGCATTGGTTGCAAATTATTGTGACCAGAAAGATAACAGAATGACAAGAATACAAAATATGAACATTAATTTGACACTGTATACATGCATATAAAACAACGCTTATAAAATATACTATCATGCTTTAATTTTTCAAGTAACAAATATTCAATATGGTATAATATTTGACCCTATGCCAAAATTTAATGAAAGTAATATTCATATTCGATATTCTCTTTATATTCGCGAATATGAATTCATATTCGGTATTTAGTCATACCCCCTATTGAGCTAATGGACAGCTTTGAAAGGAATTGATAGGTGTGGCCACCCAATTTATAACCAAGTGGATTATATCAATATTGTTTACCTTCCGGGGTCCACTTAAATAAATGTGTTCCTGTGTAAACTTTAATTTGGTATGATAAATTACAAATTAGTACTACAAACAAAATATCTTATCATTTTCATTATGAACTAAATATGATAATTTGTCAAGAATTCGGATACAAATCCGAATATTCCCCGGCAAAATCTGAATAACATATTAGCATAACGCAAATTTCAATTAAAACTGTTTAATGTGAAATTTGACAAAGAAAAGTTGGTTTTACTACCCAGAAACGTACATATATCTCACCAATATATCGCAAAATTTTTCAATACACTTCCGTATCCGAAAACTATGACACTGCTGTTTGACAGATGATTTTTGTAATCTATCTTTTGATATTGTAGTTTATCATATAATTCTTTGTGGCACTTACCTTTTAAATGATCATATAATTAATATATTAAATCAACAATCAAGTACTAACACCTATTATTACAGTTTAGTCATAAATAATTTCGAAATAAATAATGAAAGTAGGATTTTTGGGTCTTACACCACCAAATATTTTCTAAGCGGGTGTAAAGTACTAAAAGGGTATAAAACCTGGCGCATCTTATCAAATAAATAATTTCTTCATAAGCTTTAAAATAATGTCTTTAGAACAAAAACAAATTAAAAGGAATACCCAAGCAAAGAGATATTAAACAAATGTATATAAAAATGTTATACAAATGAATATAAAGCTCCATCATACAATTAGAAATTAGATGTTTTGATCATTTTTTTGTTTGTTTCAAAATCTATCATTTTTTCCACTTTTAAAAGCAGTGGTCTATAAATGTGCATGCATTATTTTTACAAATGGCACAACCAAAATAATAGGGTGGCACAAAAAAATTGACCCAGTAATAGGCTGTTTAACCAAAGTACTTCAATTGCAGTTAATATACTATTTGAAAAAAGAGTTTCTAATCTGTAAGGCACGTGATGAACATCATTGTCAATTTTCAAGAAATCTGAGACCTGTTGTATAGAACAAAGAGATAAACAAGCGCTTTTTGAAATTGAGTTAAAAAAGTACAAATAAAAGGTCATGTCATGGCATGATTTTATATAAATAATTTAATACCTGTACTTTAGGGGTTCTGATAATAGTCTGGCAGTTCACCCCAGCTACAATCATGTAGCTTCATGGCTTCATTTTCACTTTTTTCTATCGCAGCTGGCAATATCTCCATTACTTTTTCAACCACAGCTTGATAACAGCTTAAATTTATTTCTTTCGCCCACCTTGATTATGATCGCTTTCCTTTCTCCCAGTATGATATCGTCTCCACTTGGAACTATCACACAGCGTGATGACTGCCTTTATTTCTTCCATCCCAGCTTGATAATGCATGCTTAATGAATATGTTTTATTTAAATTGAAATAAAAACACTCCCGTTTACTTTTAGCAATACAAGTTAATCGTTCAATCAGGATGGGGTGAGGGGGGGGGGTGACAAAACAAACAGTTCAAATATTTTGTGAAGATTATTATACTAAAGGTCAATTAATGTTTTACCATCTCCTTTACAATTTCAGTGTTAAAAACAATTCTTTGAAGATTTACTGGAAATAATGTTTTAATTTATCGTAATCGTTAAGCGACACTATTCCTTAGAAAATGTGTCTAATCTTATAATTATTTTAGGAAAGGGAGTTTCAGATTAAAAATACACATGCATGCATTATTTAAATGATACTTTTATAATGGTCGATATTTCTTGTTGTATCGTATCTATTAGACATTTCAATTAAATGAATGAATGGATGAATGAACGAACGAACGAACGAACGAATTAATAAATAAATAAATAAATACGAAACAAAAATGATGGTGCAACAAAATACCCATGAATTTTAATTACGTTAGAAAGTCCATTAATTACAATATACGAGTATAAATATCTTAGGACAAATATTATCCCTGCAGTAACGGTTCTATTTGGATCTCACGAAAAAAAAAGTCTAGAGCATATTAACCAAGCCTCCAACACATTTACGCGCAAGTTAAATTAATCTGGTAGTCGCCTTTTTTTTCCTATTTTCGTCGTCTGTAGCCATTATCTAGATATTTTAAGTACCTAAATGTGGTCCCCACTTTTGTTTTTACTCATATTCAACAAATGCATATGATAAAAATTGTTAATCAAATTAGTTGTTCTTACATATTGTTTCTTTTATCGCAGTTTGCAAAATTTAATAACTCACTCTGTAAATTTCAGAACTATATGTATTATTACACGTTCTACATTGTTGACTGAAATATATGACGACATTTCATATCCTGTTGATAGTTTAAATACGGTAACCAAGAGATAAAAGATAAGGAATTAAAATGAAATGAAACATTCAATATTCCATTGATCCCATACATGAGCAATTTTTGATGAAAATTTAAATTACTTTGCTGACATAATTATTGTTTATATATTCTTCAGAAGTTTGCTATCAGCTCTGTCATAACTATTAGCAAAATCTTCTTTTGAAACCCCGGCGGTAATTATGTTATTGTCGGTAATATTACTCTGTGATTATTTCTTGTACAGTTTTAGCCTTTAGAAAATGTTTCTTATTTCATTCGTAACTTAATAAAACGCAATATAATGACAAATTTCCTAATAATAGGGTGCCATTAACGCCGAGGAAAATACCGGTATTCCAGGGTGGTCATAGGCCATCTATAAAAGTCGATATGTTCTTTTTTCCCCTCTAGAATGCTCATATGGCAATAAAAATAGTGCTAATTACGTTTGTGTTACGGAAACTGAAGTGAAACATCAACTTATGTTATCCCATTGTACGTTATACCGGCATAATGTTTTCGTGAGAAAATGTTGTTTTTTTATTTATTTTTCAACACCCTTACTTCTTTAAAACTAATACTGCCCTCACACATACCTCGCGACCTTACTGCGTCCTTACTGCGACCTTGCTACGACCCAGGACGCAGCACAGTCGCCATGGACGCAGCAGGTACGCAGCGAGGTCGTAGCGAGGAACCCAAGGACGCACAAGGTCGCAGACCGTCGGCGACTATTTTGAACATGCACAAAACAGTCGCAGAAACTCTGCGTTCTTGCTGAGTCCTGGTTAGGTCGCCGTGGGATCGCAGTGGAGTCGCCATAGTCGCAGCAGCATCGTAGTAAGGACGCAATAAGAACGCAATAGACGTAGTACACTCGAACTAAGGACGCCGTAAGGTCAGACTCAGAATGAAATTTACTGGTAAAAAGTATTGTTTTTTTAGACGTAGCAAGAACGTAGTAGGGTCGTCGTACAGTCGCAGGACAGTCGCCGGACAAACGCAATAGTCGTCGTAGAGTCGCCGTAAGGACGCAGAGAACATAGCACAGTCGCAGCTGGGTCGCCGATGATCGCCGTGGGGTCGCCTTGGGGACGCAATACAGTCGCAGTGGAAACGCCATGGACGTAGAAGGGTCGTATTGAGGACATAGAGAAAACGTACTGAACACAAGACTGCAGAGCCCCGGACCGTCTGCGAGAGAAATTTGAAAGAAAACCAACGATTTTCGAAAGAAAAATGCTATTTTACTAGTTTTCAGGTCGCAGTACGGTCGTGGTTTATGTGTGAGGGCACCTTAATTTACAGGCGACATAAAGAGTACATGTACATTGAAATTTAATTCAAAATGGAACACAAATAATACAGAAGAGGAGACATTTACAAGTATGTAAATAGTTCGAAGCAAATGGATTAGAGATTAGAAAGACACTCGCTTAAGTAGGTTAAAGATGGCGAATGTAAAGATATTCGTTTACTTCACACACTCGTTGAAATCGAGGAAATTCAGTAAACAGTTTTTTTCCCCCGGGCAATAACATTAAACGACTTTTTGCCCCTGTCTGACATCAAGTAATTATCGGAATCTTCTTTCAGGACTACATTCATTAACCGAAATCTATATCCATAATGAGAGTGGTTTGAATAACATTTCCTTTAAAAAATCATGCCGTGAAATCAATGTAGTTTACCACCGAGTATATTGTTTTTGTCCAGTTAAGAGGCAAAACATTTAGTATTACATACATTCAATGTTATATGTTAAAAGAACTCCACTGAGGTCCAAAAATCTTAAACATAAAATTTGAAATTCTTATACAGACCAACTGGGACACTTAAACAGTAAGATTAGCAAATGATGATTAAAAAAAGACTCAGAAATAAATTGAAAATCGTATTTTGTGTTATTCTTAGCCAGATTTGAGTAAAAACCGTTCCAACTACGTCCCGAGTAAAACAGTAATTCTTTGTATATCTATAATAAAATGGAATGAGACGTGGCCCATAATCTGGATGGAATATGTTTCATTATTATTTTTTGCACTTTAGCTGATTTTCGTGGCATTCTAGCAGACCTATTGACCAGTTTTCTTCTGAGAGCAAATATTATGATAATCTTCATGTTTCAGGTTTCAGGTCGGATGTCGTTGGGAATGAAGTTTTGGTGCTCTATATAGGTTACACCGGTTAAAGCTCACAACCAAAAATCAAATTTGATACACAATTTTCAAACATTCATTCAAGATATAATGTTCTACAAAGAAATTTATCTAATACCATAGATTTCACTGGACGCAAGAGAAGACCAAAAAATGAAGTTTGTGAACGTTTATTATGGCACAAGGAGATTACTTCAGAAAATAATTGTCTAGTAACACATGTATTTAGCTACATAGCAATGCACGTATTCGGGATACTCATTGCAACACTCGATTCGATTTACTAACTGGATGATTCAAGTTTCCCAATGTTATTCCTATTAATATAAATGGGCGAAACTCTCGGGAAGATTGTGACTAAAACAGAATATAAATCTGTTAATGTTACGTAACATAATTGTCACAAAATGGAACAGGTTATTACTAGTTTTCTCCAGAAATAATTGAGTTTTTCCAGGGAGCAAATATATAATGGGCTTTGTGTCGTGCATACGCATAAAACACAAAATCTCGAAGTTTTTTCGAATTTCATTCATTTCCCTCCCTCACTTCAGAATTTGTCGTTATTTCTTAAACAAAATATGCTTATTGCCGTGCAGATATCATAACATAATCAGTAAATGATGCACATTTATCTAATGTTTCTAAAATTCTAAATCAAAAATTCAAATTATTAATAAAAATCATGGAAATACTTAGCAATTTTGTGTAGTGTGTACTAAACACGAACTAGTTCAAATTAATACTTTTAACTAGTAAATATTTTAACTGGAATTCAGTAGCGAATCACTTTTACGACAGACACGCTCCTTTGAAGATTATTGCTAAAAGTATAATATGTTACAAAAATATCTTATTGCAAATGTGACATTTAAAATATGGCTTTAAAATGAATTCATTTGTTAAAACAAACTTGACTACAAAAATATATCTAAGACAAAATAGTAAATACTCGTACATTTATTGTTCGTTATAACCATGAATTCGCTATAACAGTGTTCGCCATAAGTGAATTTAACCGTGTATCCATTCAGATTGATGTCAACAGTTTTATTAGTTTTGTGTCAAG